ACACTGCTCTGTATGGCTGTTCTGAGCACAGCCGTGCAAAGCAGTGTGCACGAGCTGACAGGGAGTACTGTTCTCCCCATCGGAGATCCTCAGCAATCAATGGGTATTTGCGAGCAATCACTGGTCAGGATTGACCGCCGTGAATGGTGACACGGGTAGGGCGCACGGTCGTCCCCTACCCATAAATGAAAATTCACGTATATATACACGTGATTTTGCGTTCCCGTGCTGCCCTGTAGCACTATTTCTGCTATAGGGTGGATGGGAAGTGGTTAAACAATAGACCTGAATGGACATGGCTATAGGCAGATGTAAACAGATAATCATCTGTTTACATCTTCAAGTCCATAGAAATGAATTGCTGTCCATTTTCATCTGAAAATAGATGAAAAACAGATGAACGAAATGCCTGTGAAAGGGTCATATCCTGCAAGGAACCTTGATTTGCATAGCAAGAGAATGATGTTGAGTGACCAGAACTTCTTGGTTAAGGGCGACATAATATTTTAACCTCATGACAGATCATCACAGTCTCACACCATATGTGAAAACACAAGATGTACAATACATACAGTGAAGGAAATAAGTATTTGATCCCCTGCTGATTTTGAATGTTTGCCCACTCACAAACAAATGATCAGTCTAAAAATCGAATGGTAGGTGTATTGTAACACAAAGACAGAATAGCAACAAAAACATAAAAATAGTGAGGGCTCTGTCCACAGCAGAGGTACTCGGGGGACCTGGCATTCTTGCCAGTACCTTGCATGGCCGTAGAAATCTAGAATCAAAAATCTATGCGCATTGGCGCACGGACGCGAGCCGGAATACGCATGCGCACTGTTCCACACACATTAGCTCAGTTTGGCGCCAGACTGCCTCTATAAGGAAGTCCATCAGTCCCTCAAATTGCTGGTTGATCTCGGGCTCCCCAGTACCTTTGTCCATGTTCCCTTACTACTGTGATCTCCTGTTACCGATTTGGCTTGTTCCTGGACCTGTCTTCTCTGCCTGACTCCTGATCGGACCGTGGCTTGGCTAACAGATATTCTCACCTGCTCTCCTGATCTGACCTTGGCTTGGCTAATAGATATTCTCACCTGCTCTCCTGGTCTGACCTTGGCTTGGCTAATAGATATTCCCACTCACTCTCCTGTGTATGACCCCAGCTATCCTATTGACTACGTTTGTTCCAATCTCCACCTGGCATCGTACCTTGGCTTTGAACCGACTACTCTGTGGTCCTCTGCTACCCTGAAGGCCTGCATACCTCTCAAGGGCGCCCCTTGTCTGCAGACACCATTCCAGTGCATCAGCTGTGCTCCTGGGGTGTACCACTGACAAGCACTTCTACAGGCGACCTGTGCTACTTTGGGCCTGACTCCTTCTGTCCCATATCCAGGGGAGTTTGGAACTTAGCCACAAGGGAAGCCCTCTCTCCATTGGCCTCTAACACCAGGTACGTGATAGAAATGCATGTCTAACAAATTATGCACTGATTTGCATGTTCATGAGGGAAACAAGTATTTGATCCCCTATCATTCAGCAGGATTTCTGCCTACCAGGTGTCTTTTATACAGGTAACAAGCTGAGATTAGAAGCAGTCTCTTAAATGGAGTGCTGCTAATCTCATTTTGTTACCTGTATAAAAGACACATGTCCACAGGAGCAATCAAACAATCAGATTCCAAACTTTCCACCATGGCAAAGCCCAAACAGCTGTCCAAGGATGTCAGGGACAAGATTGTAGACCTACACAAGGCTGGACTGGGCTACAAAACTATTGCCAAGCAACTTGGTGAGCAGGTGACAACAGTTGGTGCAATAATTCGCAAATGGAAGAAACACAAAACAACTGTCAGTCTCCCTAGGTCTGGTGTACCATGCAAGATCTCACTTCGTGGAGTGTCAATGATCATGAGAACAGGGAGGAATCATCCCAGAACTACACGTGAGGATCTTGTCAATGATCTCCATGCAACTGGGACCACAGTCATCAAGAAAACAATTGGTAACACACGACACCGACAAGGATTGAAATCCTGCAGTGCCCGCAAGGTCCCTCTGCTCAAGAAAGCACATGTCCAGGCCCATCTGAAGTTTGCTACTGAACATCTGAATGATGCAGAGGTGGACTAGTTGAAAGTGTTGTGATCAGATGAGACCAAAATCGAGCTCTTGGGCATCAACTCAACTCATCATGTTTGGAGGAGGAGGAATGCTGCCTATGACCTCAAGAACATCATCCCAACTGTCAAACATAGTGGTGGAAACATTGTGCTTTGGGGGTAATTTGCTGCTAAGGGGACAGGACAACTGTAACGCATCAAAGGGACAATGGACAGGGCAATGTACCAACAAATCTTGGGTGAGAACCTTCTTTCCTCAGCCAGGGCATTGAAAATAGGTCGTGGATGGGTGTTCCAGCATCACAATGACCCAAAACACACGGCCAAGGCAACAAAGGAGTGGCTCAAGAAAAAAGCACATTAAGGTCCTGGAGTGGCCTAGCCAGTCTCCACACCTTAATCTGATTGAAAATCTGTGGAGGGAGCTGAAGGTTCGAGTTGCCAAATGTCAGCCACCAAACCTTAATGACTTGGAGAGGATCTGCCAAGAGGAGTGGGCCAAAATCCCTCCTGAGATGTGTGCAAACCTGGTGGCCAACTACAGGAAACGTCTGACCTCTGTGATTGCCAACAAGGGATTTGTCACCAAGTACTAAGTCATGTTCTGTGAAGGGTATCAAATAATTCCCCACATGAACATGCAAATCAGTGCATAATTTGTTAGACATGCATTTCTTTTGAATTTTTTTGTTGCTATTCTGTCTCTCAGTGTTACAATACACCTAACATTCAATTTTTAGACTGATCATTCCTTCGTGAGTGGGCAAACATTCAAAATCAGCAGGCTGATGCCCTCCTCCTCCCTGGACACTGTACTTGTCTGTGAACGATACTGCACACACCTGCACTTTCTCCCCTGCAGCTTTGTAGTTGGCTGCTATGTTGCAGTTCTGACCTGTGAAATTCCATGGTCAGAATGTTAGCACAGCTGCAGAAACCAGCTACACACTGTGCAAATCAAGGTTGTGTGGAAGGGAATCCAATCTCGGCTATGTGTAATGTGTGGCGAGGAAATGATTTGTTGCCTGCACCCAGCCTGTGTGCAGTGGAAAAGAGTTCTTTCTTGTACTTATTAACCACTTTCTGACCGCCCTATAGCAGAAATACTGCTACAGGGAGGCACAGGTGCGCAAAATCACATATATATGTGTGATTTTGCATTTCTGGGTAGGGGGCGCGCATGAGCCGCACGTGTGCCCTACCTGCGCCGCCATCAATCACCAGGTCCTGACTGGTGACATGTAGCAGAAAAACATATTGGCCTAAATTTCTGACAAAATTTGATTTTTAAACTTTTTACTGGATATGTTTAATAGCAAAATGTCAAAAATTGTTTTTTTCTCAAAGTTTTTTTTTTTTTTTTAAATAGCGCAAAAAATAAAAAACGCACAGGTGATCAAATACCACTGAAAGAAAGCTCAATTCGTGAGTAAAAAAAAAGGACGTAAATTTAATTTGGGTGCAGCGTTGTATGACCACGCCAGTTAAAGTAACGCAACGCTGTAATGCAAAATATGGCCTGGTCAGGAAGGGGGGTAAATCCTCAGGAGGGCAAGTGGTTAAACAGATATACAGAGGTTGGACAAAAAAACACTACATTGATTCGTAGGTGTGAAGGTAACGACATGTATCACATTGAATGTGGAAGTGATTTAACACTCTTTTACTTCCGAGCAAATTGTTGTGGGCTGCTTAGCTGGTGCCTTTGTGACCTAAGTTGGAAATTTATTTGCGGTGTCGCAAGGTACAGTATCAAAGGTTAGGGCGGCATATACGGCTTCTGAGAGAACGTTGTCTGATAAGCATAAACCCGTCGGACATGGTCAAAAGACTGAAAGAGACAAAAGGATATTGCGCAAGACTGTGACCCAGAATAAGAAAACAAGCGCTGGAAAAGTGACTGCAGAGCTCAATCTCAGTCTTCACAGCAACTTCAGTCACTGAAGCACCAGCTAAGCAGGCACCAACAATTTGCACTCTTTGAAGCTCAGTAAGCTCTGACATGACTCCGTATTACTAGCAGCACATGCAATGAATGACGAAAGTGAGGCTTTGCACTTTTTAGCTAAGTGTCTCATCGCACAGCGGAAGCAAAAGAATGTTACATTACTTCTGCTTTAAATGCAAAACATGTGGTCACTTTCGCACCTTCAAATCATGTAGTGTTTCCATTTCTTTTGTCTAACCCCTGGATATCAAAATGCTTCCAATGGAATACCTGACAGACCAAAGGGAGAAAAAAAAAAAAGGAGATATTCTTTGTTAGGGTTTACATACACTCTATGGTGACCGAGTTACTTCACGTGGCTATAAAAATTGAGTATGTTCTTGACACTCATTAGCAACAAAATGTGTCCAACAGGACAGAAAAAAAATCCAGCTGAATGTTACTAACTACAACTAGCTAAACCTTGACCTGGATAAATGAGGATCTTCGCAGACACAGTGATGTTGATTTACTAAAACTGGAAAGTGCAAAATCTAGTGCAGCTGTGCATGGTAGCCATTCAGCTTGTTCAATTAAGCTTTGATAACAGAAAGCTGATTTCTAGTTTCTATGCAGAGCTGCACCAGATTTTGCACTCTCCAGTTTTCATGAATAAACCCCAGTGTACTAAAGTTTGTCTAATGTTGCCTTAGTGTGTGTTTATATGTTAAAATTGTATTGGGAAGGTTAATAAAGATACATAAAAACTATGGAGAAAAAACAAAAAGCAAATAAAACACCACAATTTGTGAAAATAAAAATTTAAACATTAAACAAATTAAGGTTTTGTGACATCCAATAATATTAAATCCAATCAAACCACACAATTTGTAATGCTTTCTTAAATGACGTGTCTGGTCAGCAGTTGGACATTTGCAGTGATGTTAGTCATTTTCTGGTTTGGTCCGATACTTCTTCCAAGTGTGTTCAGTTTCTTCTGCATCCATCCATTCCAGCCAACGGTTGTAGTAACCACGGAAGCCATCAATCTTCTCTAAGAACACATTTTTTTCTCTGGTACTATAAAAAAAAAAATTGTACTAGTTTTAACAGCTAACATGTGATATGCTGTTGTGGTCAGGCTTAGCCTGTATTCATACCTCTCCATGCATAACAGTGGCTAATATGTGTACAAACATTGATGTGCCCTAAAAGTGTGAATGTGTCCTTAGAAAAATTTACTCTTTTATATATTAGGTTCCCAAGTAAGTGTTTTTCTTTGTACTGGGACATCAGGGGACAGTTTTCTATTGTTCTTGGCCAAAGATACACATACTGCCCAATACAATCCAAAATAATAAAGGCCATAACGAACCATCAAAAAAAAAAAACCTCATACAGTGGAATTTAAAGAAAATTCTAAATTGTGATTACTTTTTAGAAATACTTTGCCCATACAAAGACATCAACAGCTCCACAGGGACACTAACACAGTACCTGAAGGTATCACATTGTGCCTGCACTTCAAAATGTTTTTGAGTTGATTTTAGGGTTTACTTCAGCATTAGCTTCCAAATGCTTATTTGAGGAGCATCGTGTATAGAAAGTATTTGCTAAGCATTTCACGTTTTGAGAAACCCTTCCTTTTCACTCTTGGAAATGCTGAGTAATCAAGGGGATTAGGTAGCTACATTCAGAAGGACTGTAATAAAACATAAAATTGCTTCAAGAGGAACTTCACCCAAAAGAGAAAATTCTGCTTTTCCGCCTCCTCCTCCATCCTATTCTAACACCTTTGGACACAAATATTTTTTGTGGGGGAGCTGGTACCTAGTTTTTGACAGGTACCCACTCCCACTTCAGCTTGGATTGCCTAGGCGATCTGAGTGGCTGTTCACCCCTGCTCTCCTTTCCCCGCAGCTTTCTGGGACACATCACAGGTCCAAGAAAGCCACAGGACCATTTACAAAGCACAGCACGGCTTGTTCATGCACAGCACGAAGCTGGCTGTGAAGCCGTTAGAACTCACAGCTAACTTACCATAGTAGGGATGGCAGGGACCTGAAGACAGATGAAGAAACAGGCCAGGTGAGGACATCACTGAATCCCTGGTCAGGTAAGTGCCCTTAAATAAAAGTCAGCGGCTACAGTATTTGCAGTTGCTAATGTTTAATTTTTTGTGTGCCACTGAAGATCCTCTTTACATTTTAATTAATTTTTAGCAGCCAAATTGGGATAAAATCTACTTTATATTTGTTGGATGATCGCATTCACATAGCATAACTTATCAAAATTTAAAATTGATGCTTACATTTTACTTGCTCTTTTCTGAAGACTACGGGGGGGGAGGAAGGTCAACTTCCGCTTCTGATAGCCTAGGCGATTGCAGCGAAATTCGGAGCGGGTACCTGTCAAATTCGGATACCCACTCCCCCAAGGTGCCAATCCTTAATGGGGAGTGGGGGCAAAGCATTAAAGCGGAATTTCCCCTTTAAGCCCGCACCGCCCTTAGATTGGGGCTCCAATCACTTCACTTCAGAGCCGACAGGGTACGCTGAAGACATTGTTGTGAGCCCCGCCCTCAGAGAGGATGCTGAGCCTGGCTGGCCAGGTCTCTGGTCATCTCCTGTACTATGGCGGAAGTCTCTGATCATCTCCTGTAGTAAATCCGCAGTCTCTGGTCATTTCCTGTACTATGTCTGCAGTCCATTGGTTCAGAATATTTTTTTTCTTGTTTTCCTCCTCTAAAACCTAGGTGCGTCTTATGGTCAGGTTCGTCTTATGGAGCACAAAATACGGTAAGTTTTTCTGTGCTATGCAGAAGGAGCAGGAGAGACACTATTTACCATAATTAACCCTGTCTGTGTACTGTGATGGTAGAACCTATTATGAATTTTAAACTAGATTAACATTGTCAGCCCAAACAAAGGGTTAATCTAGACACAGGGCTTCTGCATTCTATGGTAATGAGGGAAACCTCAGAACGCCTCTCTGGTGGTTGTATGATTTCAAATTGTTCAGAGCAATGCAGGCCATAGATGGGGAGAAAACCGGATGATTTTTCTTTAAAAAAAACGAAAAAATCGGTCGTTCAAGCGGCCGACGTTACCAGGAACAGTAAAAAAAAAAAAAAAAAAAAAAAAAAAAAAAAAAAAAATCGGCCGATTTACATCCCATCTACAGCCGGCAAAAAGTGTCCCTGCAGAGAGCTCCGCTATTTCTTTGACAGTTCCTTGACATTTATAGCGGTTGCAACAATGTATCTATTTGTATCCATTTCGGATACAGATGTTTTTCTTCGGAAACAAATATACATTGTTGCAACCGCTATAAATGTCAAGGAACTGTCAAAGAAATAGCGGAACTCTCTGCAGGGACACTTTTTGCCGGTCTGGAAATCTTCTTCTTCTTCATCCTCTTCTTCTTCATCTTCCTCTTCTTCTTCATCCTCTTCCTCTTCTTCATCCTCCTCTTCATCCTCTTCTTCAGCATCTTCCTCTTCTTCAGCATCTTCTTCATCCTCTTCCTCTTCCTGTTCTTCTTCATCCTCTTCCTCTTCATCCTCTTCTTCATCCTCTTCTTCATCCTCTTCTTCATCCTCTTCTTCATCTTCATCCTCTTCTTCTTCCTCATCCTCTTCTTCTTCCTCATCCTCTTCTTCTTCCTCATCCTCTTCTTCTTCCTCATCCTCTTCTTCTTCCTCATCCTCATCTTCTTCTTCTTCATCATCCTCTTCTTCTTTTTCTTCTTCTTTTTGTCTTCCTCTTGCAGGTCACTGCTCACGCGCAGATTTTTTATCAGTAAAAAGATCGGCCGATTTGCCCATAATTGCCGCAAAAATCGGCCGATCGGCAAAATCGGCCGATCTTTTTCCAACTTTACCGATAAAAAAAATCTGCCAAAATACCGAAAAACGGCCGAACAATTATCCCACTAACGATCCGAAAATCGTCCGATTTTATTTTCGGCCAAAAAATTGGCAGATTTTCGACCCATCTATGGCGTGCATAATTTGCAGTCTGCCCAACACCTGTTTCACACAAACACCTATAATGGTAATAATTTTTAAAAACTATTTTTAGGTATGATGTGTGAATGGAAAAACATAACAAACATACAGTGAAGTTTTATCAAATTTGACTGCAAAAGTAGACATACACTTCAAGGCCTCATGTACACAGTTGTACTTAGGAATAAGTCATGCTTATTGTAAAAACATCTCGTTTTCCCGCAGCTGGGTGGGTTGTTACAACCAGCCATTAAAAAAAAAAAAGCTGTTTTTGCTTTTACACTGATGCTTCTCTGCACTGGCATTTATCCACGCATGCCATGTACAATGTCATTTACCAAAAGCTACACTTCAGCATTTGGTAAAATATGCCATGTGTACGTAAATGCGAATGCAGAGAAGCAGGGGCATACAGCCATTGCCTTCTAGATTGCACACCCCATCTGCAGATGTGCCAGCCATGGGAAAATGTGTTTTTTTTTTTTTACGATGGGCATATTTTATGTTTATGCCTAGATGTCTGTGTGCATGTATCCTAAAGCTTCCTAAAGGCTTGCTATAAAGCTATATTTAGCACTACTATTAAGACCTTTAGTCGACAAGCCAATACTGGAGCTGAAGAAATACTGAAGAAAGCTGCTTTAAAAATGCTTTGTAAAGATTTACTGTAGAAGGTGCTCCACAAGAAAGTTTCTAGAAACTTTTGAATGCTTTGCTGGAATGGAAGGCTTTCCAGACTAGGATTGTGTGTACAGGGCTTAGTAAATACCCATCAACCTTTGCACTGACAGAAAAAAAATACACACCAGATTTGAGACATGAAAGTCCAACTCCAGTCAGATCCTTTTATTTTGCTTTGGAGTGCGGGTTAGAGTTTCTATCAAATTTATAAAAAAAAAAAAAAAAAGTGTCCCCTGCTGGGAGAATGGTTTTCACTTCCTGTCAAGACAAGAAGTGTTGGGAAATCTCTTCAAAGGGGACACAGACAAAAACACCTTGGTAATTAAGTGAGGCAGGGTTGTTGGGTTGCATGGCTGGCACAGGGACAGCAAGAAACAACATCCCATTAGGTTCACAGATAGAAATGATAATCTAACATAAATTTCAGATCTTTCACACTCCATTTAAAAGTGAAATTATATTGGCTTTACTTAGAGTGGTGCTAATGGGAAAACACACCAGATCAAAAAAAAGAAATTAAATAAAGCATGCAAGCCATACTATGAGTCCATGTTGTCAATCATCACATATGTTGACCAATTAAAGAAAAGCAGTTGAGAAGGCTACAGGTATTATTTTTAGGAATTGAATGGAATGTATACTTTTATATGTAGATTTTACTTAACAGAATAATAATAAATTCTATATATATTTTATCATTCAACTGTTTACATACTTTGTCAAAGTTTGGTGGATACCGGGCTGCAAATTCCAGCTGGCGTATCACGACTTCATTAGGGGCCACTTTCCTGCATTTCATGTCTCGCAAGATATCAATTAAGTAGACGTAATCTAATTTCTTTAATGCGACATTGATCAAGGTGCTGTATACATTCTTATTGGGTTGGAAACCAGCAGTCTGTAAAACACAACACCAGCCTTTGGTTAATTTAAAGCACAAGTTCACAAGCAGAACCTAGAATATATTTGATGTGTTTTTGTTTGCTTTGTGAGGTTTAATCACTTTCTTCCACTATATTCACGAAAACGGTTGCTAAAATCACAGTGTCTGACTGTACCCAGAATCTACACATAACAAACCACAGTACTGGTCGTATAAACCTCAGGAGAGAAGCAGTACATGCCAAAAAGTTATTGTCACAGTCCTGCTCTCATTTTAATATAAAGTTACATTTTCATAAGAGAAGTATGGGGGACTGCCATTGCAGGCCACCTTTTAAAAGTGCTAAATGCCCGGCTGTGTTCGACTTCAGTACACTGCAGTCACAGACATGGAACAAGCATACTTTAAATCATGTTTGGGTCAGCAATGAATTCAAAGCAACAGAATGACAGCCAGGAACTAGCATTAAAAATCAGCAGCATTCTCTACGAGAGTCCCATTAACCAAAGAAGCAGTAACCATCCAATATGACAAGTGATACAGAAAGCAGGACTTCAGAAATACACTCTCAGCAGCTCTGTGTGGTGCTCTCTGGAATTTGGCTACACTCAAATGCAAAGCCCAGATTAAAGTAAAATGTGTGAATGTTCTGCCTTCAGCATAGTTTCAGTGTTTGCTGGACATCATTAGCAGCTTATGGTTTGGTTACACGTTACTCTTTTGTTTACAAGGTTATAAAGTGATGTTTGGTATATTTTTTTCATTACAATAAACTTCTAAAGAGATCCTGTCACCAGGTCATTCATTTCAACAACTTAGCCATAATATATGTGCATTTAACATATTTTAGGCATGTTTTGACCTGTAAAATCCTGCTTTGTGTAGACTTCCAAAAGCCCTGAGAATGCTGCTGGGTGCCGCTATCTTGGATGTGAGGTCAGCAGGACTGAAATCTTTCAGTATTGCATGTCCCTTCCTAGCTTGAAGTGTTGGTGAAGGGGATTTTATGACTTTAGTGAGTGTCCATTCTATTGTAAAGATTTATTACTGTATTTGTGTGTGTGTGTGTATATATATATAAAGACTATGTACCATTACTCTTGTGTACGCATATAATAGATATTTGCTCATATCTATGATAATCCTAGATTATCACCACCTGAAGTCCTCCTGAGGAAGCAGGTCACTGACAAGCTAGATCGGTGTCTGCCATATTGAATGGGGATTTTTATTGTATGTATTTTAACAGTGATGTATACACGTTTTTGCATCCATTAATCTGCACCAGTTAAAGTCCACAGTGTCCCCCTTCTGGGAATTTTTTATGTGGCAACTTGTAGCTTTGGTTGGAATCTAAAATACAAGGTCCACTAATGCCAAGAGGCCTGCAGAGCACATATGGCTTGCTAAGAAGTACGAAAATGAAGAATTTTTCAAGTAGTTTTTAAGTGGAAAACCTATTATTTCCAGAGCAGATTGCCACAGGCTGAGAAAACAGTGCACAATTTTACTGGCCTCAAACAACTGATTTGCACACTGTAACCCTAAACTCACCAGGTTTTTATGTACATTCAGGGGTTTTTTCACCTGACACAGCTTTTAACCTTCCTTGCTCCAAATTATATGTTTTCCCAGTGCTTCAGATATCATTAAACATAGACAGTGAAAAGATGAAACTGAAATGTTTTAATACCGCCATATCTTGAAGCAGCTGCTGTAGCCCATCTTCTTTCTTACGGCAGGCCTTTGCCAAATTGCAGAATGTGTGAATGTTTGGTGCAATTCCTCTTTGTGCTAAAACTGGAAGCAATTCCTGTAAAGATATAATTAGGTGACAAACACTTCATTTATGGTTTTGCGGATTAGTGAGTTATGGTTGCAAAACCTCAGTCAGGCTATTTTAGTTTTGGTTGTTGTGTCTCTTTAGGCAGACTATGCTTCACATCCTGTCGCAAGGCACAACGAGAAGTGAGAGAATATCTCTCCAAAATAAAACTGGCCATGCGTTGATCAAGATCCCTGCTAATCCGGACACATTTTGATCAGTGTGTGGCCATCCTTGTTCAACATAAGTTGTTTGATCAACTTCTGTTGAAGGGACGTGCTGGAAAATGTTTCTTAAATCAGGGGCTGCAGTCACTGATCAGTGCATTCTGACTGGGGCGGGAGCAGCTGTCAAAATACAATGTCACAGCAGAAAATCCTTGTTTGTGAGGCTGGAGGAATCTGTTTTCTGGCTGAACCAAAATAATGCAACAGTGTATGGCCAGTTTCAGAAAAACCCTTTCATGGAAAGTCCCCATTAGAAGATTACTCCTCTATTCCTGTTTCGATGACAACCCAAAATTTTAAATTCTCCCTCACTTTCAGTCCCAGTGACAATGGTAACCAGACAAAAAATAACAGTAACTCTTCCCAGCAGGGACACAGACAACAATAAAAAAACCCAGCACAGAGGTTCTAACCCTTTCCTGTTGTGTTCATGGTGGGGGGAATTTTTTTTTTTATTTACATTTTACTGATTTGGAAGTTTTTTAAATTCAACTTTATTACTGTCACAAAGGAACTGACAAGCCCCCTGGCTATACACTAGTAAATTTTCAAATGAATGTTCACATGAATATTTGTATGAACATTCATACAAAAATTCGTTGTATATTCAATGACTGGACAAATGTCGTTCAAAATTTTATTTGCTTTTAACATGTGATTTTGGAGTTAATTTCCCATATAAAAACCACATCAACTGTTAGAAATCTGTTCATTTGAGCAAAAATTTCTATTCTACTTCCTCAAATTGTCCCATCACTGTGGTAAAAAAACAAACATCGATTTGATTTCACTAACCATTAGAAAATCCAACAAACGTTCTTAAAACAAATGATTTTGAATGAAGCAGCATTGTAAAGCCAGGTTATGTCTCCCATGTGTGCTGATGCAGATGCAGTTTTTCATTTTTTCTCCTTTCCTGTCACTTAGCGCTACACTGACCTTGAATCTGGAAATTATAGTGAAGAGTGTAAATTTGGTCTATATGAGAAATTGGTATATTTTTTCAAATCAGATTCATAAGTCAATGTTTACTTCTGCACACTTAGACAATGGAGAAAGACAGAACTGTTTTTTTTTTTCATCTTACCATTGCTGATTTCAAGTCCATAGTTTCACTCCTCTTTAATATCAACGTATTAAAAAATGTCAAATCGGGTTTTATTTTGAATGAATCCATAAGGGAAAAAAGGGTAGCTTCTGACTGCAGGTCTGGTTTCATCACTTCAGCCATTAGGGTGAATGTTTTTATTGAGGGGCAGACATTGTCTTCTTTCATCTTCTGAAGAAATCCCTCCAGGTCACCAATCAGGGCAAATCTATCATAGGGAGTACTGACATTTGTCAGTGATACTACTGAATCAGTATTTAGGTGCAGGTCTAAAAGGTTTGGCACATTACTGGCAGGAAAAGATGGATTGATGGCAACCTGAAATGTGTTTTCCATGTCTTCCTGACGCCCAGTAGATGAAAAGTCTGTTATAGTACTCTGACGACCCCTTAAATCAGGATGCAGAGGTAGTTGTGCATGTAAAAGGTCTTTATCAGATTGTTTTGTTTTGGTTCCTCTGGTTATCTTGTCTTCCTGAGATGTTCCTGCACTTAACATCAACATATTCAAATCCTTGGAATTTTGCAGAATATTTAACACTTCATTAGGCTTTCCAATGCCACAGTCTCTGGTGGCTCGAAGAATCAAGTTATAGGTGTAAATATCTGGCTTTATACCCAAGTGCAGCATCTGTCTCCATACCTACATCAGATGGAAATAAATGTTCATAGATAAAAGAGCTGCATAACTATTTAAAAAAACATTTAACCCTATATGTGACTTCAAAACCCCACCCTCCTTTTAGAAGAGGTGCTGACAATACATAATTCTTTGCGGAATTGTTGCAGGGAAGTTAAAGATCAGCACAAGGTTGTTCAGACATCAAGTGACCCAGTGAAGGGGACATAAGTTACTACACCTGTAATGGTCTGTACTTTTTTTGGTGCAGCTCTCTAAAACACTGCCAATATTTCTGTTCGGTCCACTCTGCTTTGTTTCAATTTGTTTTTCCACCACTGACACTAGAATGTAACCTAAAACCAATGTATGATGCACTTCATAATAAACAGGTGTAATTGCAGTAAGGTCTTGAGATGACTTCTTTGTTTTAAAAATGTCACCATTATCAGTGTTGTAATGATTTAAAGCCATTCTAAAAGGCTGCATTTTAAAAAAAGAAACAAACATGTTATACTTACCTGGTCTGTGTAATGGTTTTGCACAGAGCTGCCCCGATCCTCTTCTTTTTGGGTCCGCTGCCAGCGGTCCAAGCTTCACCCCCCAGCTGAGTCCCCCGAACCGCACTCCTGTGAATGGACACTGTCCATTCACACACAGAGCATGGCTTGGCCCTTCCCCCCACGTGCTCATTGGCTCACTGGCTGGGATTGACAGCAGTGGGAGCCAATGGCTCCCACTGCTGTGTGAGCCAATGAGGAGGCAGAGACCGGGAGAGACACTGCTCTCATGCACACTGCTGGATTGAGATGGGGCTCAGGTAAGTATAAGGGGGAAGTGGGGGGGGGGTGTTTTGGGGGGAGGGTCTGCACCCAGAAACTGTTTTACCTTAAAGAACCTTCAGCCTTTAGAACTACTTTAAAGTATTACCATTTACATAGATCACAGGAACCTGTGGTGAACATGATATTTGTCCATGGTCATTATCCTTGCCGATCTTCTAGCAAACAAAATTTATGTTTTTTTATAAAACCTGTGATCAGTTGGGGAGATTAGGGCAATGCATATCCACTTACCAGAGCCTTGAACCTGTATTCACACCAAAGCAGGGCAATTTATTTGCACATGTAAACACATTTTTAAGCATTTCACAATCTTTGGGCAAGCATTTTTGCACGTTTGTTTCCTGGGCTGGGCAAGGGTGAGCAGTTCTAGAGGGAAAGAGCACTTCAAGCTCATAAACATGTTTGTTGCATGTTTACAGGCACTTCTATTTAAGTCTATGCCTGATCACGCTCAAAAAATATTTCATGTACTTCTCTGAGCATAGGTGTTGAGCGAAGAGAAATGGGTGTTGAATTGTGAACAGGCACAACTACAGACCATAGGATTCTGCAAGTTGAGCATTGTCAAGTGTAGGGAAACACTCTACACAGCGCTCAGGTATGTATGGGGACTAAAGAAAAAATAAACAAGAATATACAACATACAAGTATATGGTTTTATTGAAAATTAACATTTTAACTAGAGTGATCTAGTCTGGGAAGTCAGAGATTTATAATATGTAATAAAATATAAAAATTATTTTACAACATGCACATTAGGCTACATTCACACCAGTAAGTTATGCCGGTGATAATTGTAGCAGCAGGAATTCTGATTGCCGCTATGTCTATGAGCAGCTAGGTGCTTTCTGTGGCGATTACTGCTGGACGCAGCTCTGGCTATGCAGAGAACCATGAATAGCTATGGCAGCTATCGACCTGTCATTATAGTTAACTGGGCCAGCTGTCGCACCTAGCCATTCAGAGCGAATTAAAAAATTCCTGCCGCTACAATTGGCACCGGCCTAAATAACCAGTGTGAACACAACCTAATACATCATTTATGCCATTCCTCAATTATTCCACCAATAAAGAAGAAGAAAAAAAAAAAAAACTTTGATCACTGTACCTGTAAAGAAAAACGGAACCCCAACTGTTCATCCTTTATACAGGCCATAAGGAGGATATTGAAACATTCAGGACCTTTAATTCTATATTTCTGTACAATTTCCTAGAAAAAAAAACAAAAAAAAATTAGCTTGTAGGCTTTACAGACCCAGGAGACCCGAGATGATTATTGCCCGAATGGCCTGATAATAGTCAGAGAGTATCAGTATAGCTAGGGGTTTCCACCAACATGTGCTGACAATGCCAAGCCAAAATGAATTCAGAACAAAAGAAATCACTTATCCGGGATATACTGTATTTCAAAGTGGTATCAGACCACGCAAAATACAGTGCCTTGAAAAAAAGTATTCATACCCCTTGAAATTTTCCACATTTTGCCATGTTACAGCCAAATACATAAATGTATTTTATTGACATTTTATGTGATAGACCAACACAAAGTGGCACATAATTGTGAAGTGGAAGGAAAATGATAAATGGTTTTCAACATTTTTTACAAATACATTTCTGAAAAGTGTGGCATGCATTTGTATTCAGCCCCCCCGAGTCAATACTTTGCAGAACCACTTTTCGTTGCAATTACAGCTGCAAGTCTTTTTTGGGGATGTCTCTACCAGCATTGCACATCTAGACAGGGAAATGTTTGCCCATTTGTCTTTGCAAAATAGCTCATGCTCTGTCAGATTGAATGGAGAGCGCCTGTGAAGAGCAATTTTCAAGTCTTGCCACAGATTCTCAATTGTATTTAGGTCTGGACTTTGACTGGGTCATTTTAACACATGAATATGCTTTGATCTAAACCATTCCATTGTAGCTCTGGCTGTATGTTTAGGGTCGCTGTCCTGCTGGAAGGTGAACCTCTGTCCCAGTCTCAAGTATTTTGCGGAACCTAACAGGTTTTCTTCTAAGGTTACCCTGTATTTGGCTCCATCCATCTTCCCATCACCTCTGACCAGCTTCCCTGTCCCTGCTGAAGAAAAGCATCCACCACAACATGATGCTGCCACCACCACCATGTTTCACGGTGGGGATGGTGTGTTCAGGGTGATATGCAGTGTTAGTTTTCCACCACACATAGCGTTTTGCTTTTAAGTCAACAAATTCAACTGTGGTCTCATCTGACCAGAGCACCTTCTTCCACATGTTTGCTGTGTCCCCCACATGGCTTCTCGCAAACTGCAAACAGGACTTCTTATGGCTTTCTTTCAACAATGGCTTTCTTTTTGCCACTCTCCCATAAAGGCCAGATTTGTGGAGTGTAAGACTATTAGTTGTCCTGTGGACAGATTCTCCCACCTGAGCTATGGATCTCTGCAGCTCCTCCAGAGTTACCATGAGCCTCTTGGCTGCTTCTCTGATTAATGCTCTCCATGCCCGGCCTGTCAGTTTAGGTGGACGGCCATGTCTTGGTAGGTTTGCAGTTGTGCCATACTCTTTCCATTTTCGGATAGTGGATTGAACAGTGCTCCGTAAGATGTTCAAAGCTTGGGATAATATTATAGCCTAACCTGCTTTAAACTTCTCCACAACTTTATCCCTGACCTTTCTGGTGTTTCTTGGCTTTCATGATGCTGTTTGTTCACTAATGTTCTCTAACAAACCTCTGAGGGCTTCACAGAAGAGCTGGGTTTATACTGAGATTAAATTACACACAGGTGAACTCTATTTACTAATTAGGTGACTTCTGAAGGCAATTGGTTCCACTAGATTTTAGTTAGGGGTATCAAAGTAAAGGGGGATGAATACAAATGCACAGCACACTTTTCAGATAATTATTTGTAAAAATGTTTGAAAATCATTTATCATTTTCCTTCTACTTCACAATTGTGCCACTTTGTGTTGGTCTATCACATAAAATCCCAATAATAAAACACATTTACGTTTTTGGATGTAACATGACAAAATGTGGAAAATTTCAAGGGGTATGAATACTTTTTCAAGGCACTGTATGTACAGTACATATGGCAAATGGTGCAGGCCAGTGCTATTTTGCTAACAAAATCATTTTCTGGATTCTGAGAGAACCCTAACACTGGATGGCCACACAGCCATGTCCATATCACACAGGCAGCATCATGGGCACCCAAAAGAGCAACCTGCCTCCAGTACACAGAAGAAGATAGAAGGCTTGGGACTGAAACAGCACAGATAAGGTGTGTAAAGGAAGCATTTAGGGGAATGGGGGAGACTAATTTCAGCATTAAATTACTTTTTAAGTTGCCATTTCTCATTTAACAGATGTGGAATGTTATACAATTACAGCTGGAGTAACACTTGGCACAAGAGCCAGCTCTGCTGGAATAGTCACAGAGGAGGGGAAGGGAGAAAGAGTAACTACTGACCAGCCTGGTAGGTGTGGTGGATAAGGCCTACAAATTATGTTACTTAATGAATTATGACTACTGGCTTACCTGAAATATTTCCAAGCCACTTTGCAGCCCAGAGCACAGCGAGTATGCTTTCAGTAGGCCCCGATATGCAACTGGATTAAAGCTGAATATTTTTATCCATTAGTTCTTTCCGCAGTTTAACAGCATACTGGAGACCTGAGTCCTTCCATGGCGATTCAGCGCATGCATTAAAAAGAGCTGTATAGGTGGCATCAAGGGGTATCAGACCTCTCTTCTTCATCTACCCATGAAAGAAAAACAAATAAAAATTTTAATCAAAATTCTGTACTCCTATGTAAATGCATGTATGCGAATAAAGTGTTAGAATTCTCACAACAAAAAAAATCTGATTAAATAAAAGATCTGTGCTATACATAATAGATAGAAAATATGGGGTACTAGTCTCACATGCCATAGCAAAAATTATACTCCGTCGCGTTTGGGAGGCAGAATCTAATGAATGGGGTCGCTCCGCAATCACATAAATTGTAACGCAGTGGTGGGGGTTTTTCAGGTTCTAGTAAGGTGACATACTGCACCCCCTGCCCCCTGCTGAAAAGCAATCCACCACAAATCACTTGTCAGAAGGGCAGCATATAAGTATATTCATTTAGTCATAAAAGAGCAGAGAAAAAAAATAAGTAAATCAATCTGCATTCTTCCATTTTTACGCTAGGTAAGTTTCGCACAGTTGCATTGCAGTAATGAACGTTGACGCACTGTGTGGTGGCGTTCATTCCGAATGTTACCCCCAACACACCACGCACTGCATTTCTACCTTTTTTAAGTGGGTTATGAAGACTGTTCAATAAAATGCGATGCCTTAAGGTAACATGGTAATATGTGCCAAAGTATAAATGGGCTCTAAGTCTTTAAGAGGGTGTTTTTGGTTTCATTGTGTTTTCATTCCTTTTAGTACAGGCAAGTGAGACAAAAATGAAGCAAACATCTGAGCTAAGTAGAGGGACCAAATGTGCTCTATCCAGTGCTGTACCTATTTAAGTCCTTGTTAACATGGGGCATATTATAGCGTACACCAGTGCAGGGGCTGTGTTTACCTGCACAGGTGTTTTGTGCATCCCTGTGCAGACAGTCCGATTCATGTCAAAGTCACATAGCCACTGCTCCCAATCTGAAATCCGTGTGGGTGCGGGTGCACAGCCCCGAATGCAGCCAGTGTGAGCTTGGGGGCATGCATCCATACATGTCAAATTGGGAGCAACATCTGTGTCCCAAATTACATCAATAGGACTGCCTGCATGGGGATGCACGGAATACCTGTACATCCTCATGTAGGTAAACATTGCCCTCACACTGATGTGTCCTATAATATGTCGTGTGTGAACGAGGCCTTATTCTTAAAACATATTGCAAAAGTTTGGCAATTAACATAATAACGGCAGACTACTTTATTTCAGTCCTAAAAAAGGGACAGGTGCTGTTGGAAGTATTCAACTGCAAAATTACATAGACTGGTATAACCTTTAATCCCTGGATTCGTGGATGAGGTGATAAAGATAAGAATTGCGCACTCACCAGATACGCAATTCAAGTGCGCATTTAAAGCTGATAATTTCCAGGGTCCTGATGGGATATGGATCTGGTCAGATCTGGTCACAAAAGCCTCTCGCCACCTGGTAGTGTTTTCCACACATGGAAGAAAGGGGCCGCTCTGCAGATGTAAAGGACTCCCACCTCAGATTCTGCGCTGTGCTCATTCTCTTGCTGAAATACAATATTTGTAAGACTTGTATTTCAGCAAGAGAATGCGCAGAATCTGAGGTGGGAGTCCTTTACATCTGCAGAGCGGCCCCTTTCTTCATGTGTGGAAAACACTACCAGGTGGCGAGAACCAACCAGATCCATATGAGGACCCTGGAATTATCAGCTTTAAATGCGCACTTGAATTGCGTATCTGGTGAGTGCGCAATTTTATCTTTATCACCTCATCCACGAATCCAGGGATTGGAGCTCTTTAAGGACTCTCTTGGATTTTTGAGCACGCTACGGACTATATTTGTCATTTAGTCACCGTTTTGCACTTTAATAGCACTTTATATCAGTGTATATTTATTAAGTATATAAGTGTATATCTGTTCAGCTAGCGCTGCACCTCTCCCTTGTATGCATTTCTTATTATGAAGGTTTATATGGTACCTTTTGGTGTTCAGCTGCTTTCTTCTTATTTATTCATTTTTATTCACTAATTGATTTTATTAGTTGTTTGAAGCGCTCACTTATTCTGAGATTTACTGGTATATAACCTTTGTGTATTATAGAACAGCCTTGGGAATTGTTTATTTTTGATCTCTTATACTGGCCTCAAAGAAGGAAGAAGAATAGATCCTACATTTTTTCATCTGCTTCCCACTGATAATAAAACAAGAATGCAGCAGAAATAGAAATGTAGAGTCATTTTAATCTTTTTAACTTCTCCATGGCCTAGGATCAGTTAAGCCTAGATGCCCAATCCAAATTTAGCAGCTTCAGTATACACTGGTTAACTTGAGAATAACTTGCATAACCAAATCATTTTTACACTATTTTATATTTTAGGCTTACAGCTTTTCATAGAGAAAGGCACAGTGCCATCTGCAGACTTTGTAAACAGTAAAGGTAAGTAATAGTTTTTATTTATAAATGGTCTATTTATTACCTACCTTTACTGTTAGTTGGATGTGAGAACATATTTAGGTGTTTGCAGCAGCTGTAAGCAGGCCATAGATCGTTTGAAACATGTATGGGAAGGCTGAATGTACCCAAGTGATCAATTGATCGATCAACTTGGGCACAATCAGCCTGGCGGATTTTACATGTGATTATCGCTAACAGCTGTGTTGATGGGGGAATTGAGTGAATTTCTTTCCTGTAACCAGTGTTGGCCTACCTTAGTTAACATGAGAATTTTGGTGAAAAGATTAGTGGCAGCTCAGGGGGTTATTTCACGTGTAATATATTGGTGATTACGTTATCAGGAATGAATCTGATTAGTGTTTACATCTGTTGTTCTCATACTGTACCTGTGGCTGTCAAAGATAACAAGGTCTCAGATCTAGGAGCACACATAGGTGCACACACCCAAGTTTCAGCTTACACTGGTATGGTCAAATACAGACATGTTTGTTTTTTTTTTTTTTTTGGATAGAGCACAAAACAGATCAATTACTTACGTAAAATATATTCTTGTGTACATAGCATAGGTCAGCAATATACAGCAGTGTTTAGTTACCATATGCAACGTACATTAGAATACAACTGAAATGCTTTTTTAATATATCCAACTCTCCCACATCCTCCTATCAGTACAGTGTAGTTATATTCTTCAGGTTGCAACTGATCCTCTTGTAACATCTGTACTTCAAAGAGTCCCAGGGCTTCTGCCAACTGCAGATAAAAAAAGAATACAAATTTAACCAACATAACAAAATCACAATCAAACACTGAAAATTCCAGACTAAACATGGGCACATGTTACGTAGTAAAAACTAGATCTAATGTCCCTAGATTTACCAACAACTATGCAATGCAAGTGCATTTAATTCATATCCAGCCAGGTAGGTCCTCACATTTTATAGTTGGTAAATCTAAAGGAAACTACATAATTAATATATGTAATAAGTGCAACCAGCTTTAAAGTGTTGTAAATTAAAAAAAAAAAAAAAAAAAAAAGATTTTGTATGTGAGAAGACAAAAGGGAAAGTACTGTACAGGATAAATAATAAAGTTGACAAGTCAAGTGAACTTTGCGTCCAGGATACAATCAGAAATTCACATTACAATGGCATATATGACTTGGCATATCTCATCTTCAACCAAAGACAATTTTGAGAAAAAAAAAAAAAACAATATTTGACTTTTTGCTATTATACATGACCAGTAAAAAAAAATGTAAAAATCTAATTTCGTCATACATTTAGGCCAAAATGTATTCTGCAGCATGTCTTTGCTAAAAAAAAAATCCCAATATGTGTAAAGTAATTGGTTTATGTGAAAGTTATAGCGTTTACAAATGGCGGTATAGATACTGGGATTTTTTTTTATTTTACACTAATAATGGCGGCGATCAGCGACTTATGGCGGTGATCAGTGACTTATGGCAGGACTGCAGCAGGCATTCTGACACTGGGGGACTTGGTGTCACTGACATCCCCCGTGACACCAATACAGTAATCAGTGCTTAAAAAAAAAAACAAAAAAAAAAAACACTGACACTGTACTAATGGCACTGGGCAGGAATGGGTTAACATGAGGGGCAAGCAAAGAGTTAACTGTGTGATGGGAGTGCTTTACTAGGGGGTGTGGGGTGTGTTCTTCACTGTAAGCACACTGCTCTGGATGGCTTTGCACAGCCATCCAGAGAAGTGCACCTAAACTGACAGGGTGGACAACTGTTGGCAAACAAAGCAGCCCTCCTGTCTGTGATTGCCGTTAATCACCAGCTGGGACCTGGTGATTGACACCTGCGACCACAAATGGCGGCGCAGGTACGGCGCACGCCTCTCTACCCGGAAATGCAAAATGATGTTCATATACGTGATTTTGTGCACAGGGACCGCCCTGTAGCAGTATATCTGCTATAGGGCGGTCCTTAAGCAGTTAATTTTTTTTTTTTTTTTTGTTTAACCAGCAGTTTGAATGAAAAAAAGTGACCGGATTTCCCCATCCATACATTCAAAGAGGATGGGAAATCACTCACGCTGAGCTACTGTGTTCTGACAACAGGGAGACTTCTCTGCTGTCACAAAACACATTGATAAGTGCTGCCAGTTATAGCCAGCAGCACTGATCATTCAGGAAAAACTTAACCAGCTTGCCCCATACATGGATCAAAATTCGGCCAATCCCTGGAGCTGAATGAATAATTGAATGGTATAGCACAACCGACAGAGAGAGTAATTCAGTGAAAATAAACTCCCAGAAGTGGAGAGGGCTATGATGTAGCAAGTGGGATGGGCAGTACTAGGGAATCAATTCCTGGAGCAGTGAAATTCTTAGCAAATCCAAAAGCGCATTTCAAGTGAATAAAGTATCGCTTATGGAAAGAAATAAATATTTACAATATTTAAATGAAAAATGTGTAGCTCCAATAATATTCAGTGCACAGGGCATAATATCCAAATATCAAAAACGAAATGTCCACCAATGTTTCAATTATTTATAAAAAATAGCCACCACTATGTCCAAACAATGAAAAAAATCTTCCAGTATGTCCACACAACACACTCAAGTGGATTTAAAACTCACCAGAAATTTTGGCTATACAAAGTACAGCTCAACCAGCTCAATGAAGTGATCTCAGCCCGCCTGCCTATTCTGAATTCACAGACCCAGGTTACAGGTATTGCCTCTATAAATGATAGCAGGGGGAAGTGGCAAGCACAACACTGTGATAAAAACTCTTCAATCCATAGTTTTCCATTGCCTTACTTTTTTCTGCTGCTAGATGTCCTCAGTGTCTGCATCCATTTACAAATGATTAACCCTTTGGGAGTATCTCACCAAAATTTACATTTTTGTTATAGAATCTTAAGCCGCCATAGATGGTTCAAATGTCGATTGGTTCAGCAGGGACCGGCTGAGGTTCGAACCATGTGTTGGCAGGCTGAATGTACCCAAGTTGATCAATGAATCAACTTGGGCACAACCAGACTGTCAGATTTTAAATGTGATTATAGCCGCTAGCAGTATTCACTGTGTTCTCCTGGCTGCTCCCCCCCGCCAGCCTGCCGAGAGAGCTCTGTGGGAGGGATTCCCCCATCAACACTGGCCTTCTATGGCTGTTAAGCACCTCTAGGCTGTTATATTGCATTGAATCTTAGAGAAAAATACTTTGCTGCAGAATGAAATGGAAAAGTAATTCTTAATAACATTCAATAATGACATGGTTTGCGTAGCAACTGTATATGCAAAATTTTTTATTTGCTATTTTTTTCCCCATGAAAGTGGGGTTACCCTTTCAATATTTCCAAGGTTTTCAGTCAGCAACAAAATAGAAAAACAGGCAAGTGACAGTTACCTTGCCTTCTTTGATTTTGCCCTTGCATTTTAAGAAGTACCAGTATGGGGTGTTTCTTGTTCTTCTGTACTTCTGAACTTTCCTGGTCTTTCTGTTGTCTTCTTTATCCTCCTCATACTGCAAGTTCTGATTTTCCAAGGAGGATTTTCTAAAAGATGTTCTTACAGAATACCTTTCTGACAATGTCCCAAAATGTACATCTTCATCTGGTTGTTCATTTGTAGGTTTCATATTATCTGAATAATTTCTAGTCCTTAAATGCATCCCCTGCTGACATAATACAAGACAGTGCTTTAAATGAGTCCGATGGTGAATGACAGAGATTTGTCTGTATGTAGCTTGTACATGTAAGGGACATCCTGAAGCCAAAGAATGGAGCGATAATTTAGCAAATATCTGCAGCATGATGAGGTTTGATCAAGTTGACAAACACTGAATTCTTAACTTCATGTAACCTACAGCATAAAAAAAAAAAAAAAAATCAGTTACAGCACACTCACACTCTGTCTGTTTCTTGTGCTCTCTCGCTCTGTGTATATTAGGAAAAATATTATTCTTTCTATACCAACTGTTATTGCTATTGTGTAAACATTGGTTCACTCTTTACTATGATTTCTATTTATAAAAGCTGCATGAAAGAAACACAGGAGCAAAAGTAGATTTTGTTCTCTGTTCTATATTCCTATGAGCCAGTTAGGCAGTAGAATATAAAGTGTACACCATAAAAAACATCAGCAATGTACCCTGATTGAATGCCTGTTTTTCATTCCTCATTGCCGCTCTCCTAGCTGCTCTTGCTGACAAATTGACAACCAAGACATAAGCAGAGCAACAGCTGTGTAAAACAAAGCTTGTGATCACAGTTCAGAACATTGGAGGATGACAGAACTGGGTCAGCGCATAGTGTCAAAACTACTCTATATTGCCAAAAGTATTGGGATGCCTGCCATTACAGGCACATGAAATTTAATGGCGTCTTAGTTCATAGGGTTCAACATTGAGTTGGCCCACCCTTTGCAACTATAACAGCTTCAACTCTTCTGAGAAGGCTGTCCACAAGGTTTAGGAGTGGTTCTATGGGAATGTTTGACCATTCTTCCAGAAGCGCATTTGTGAGGTCAGGCACTGATGTCGGGGTGAGAAGGCCTGGCTCACAGTCTCCGCTCTAATTCATCCCATAGGTGTTCTATCAGGTTGAGGTCAGAACTCTGTGCAGGTCAGTCAAGTTCCTACACCCCAAACTTGCTCATCCATGTCTTTATGGACCTTGCTTTCTACACTGATGAGCAGTCATGTTGAAACAGGAAGGGATCATCCCCAAACTGTTCCCAGAATGTTGGGAGCATGAAATTGTCCAAAATGTCTTGGTATGCTGACGCCTTAAGAGTTCTCTTCACTGGAACTAAGGGGCCAAGTCCAACCCCTGAAAAACAACCCGACACCATAATCCCCCCTCCACAAAACTTTACCTTTGACACAATGCAGTCAGGCAAGTACCATTCTTCTGGCAACCACCAAACCCAGACACATCCATCGGATTGCCAGACAGAGAAGCGTGATTCTTCACTCCAGAGAACACGTCTCCACTAATCTAGAGTCCAGTGGCGGCATGCCTTGCACTACTGCATCCGACGATTTGCATTGCACTTGGTGATGTAAGGCTTGGATGCAGCTGCTTGCCCATGGAAACCCATTCCATGAAGCTCTCTACGCACTGTTATTGTGCTAATCTGAAGGCCACTCAAAGTTTGAAGGTCTTTTGCTATAGACTCTGCAGACAGTTGGAGACTTCAGCACACTGCAACTTCAGCATCCACTGACCTCGCTCTGTCATTTTACGTGGCCTACCACTTCGCTCCCTTGCTGTTGTTCCCAGTTGCTTCCACTTTGTTATAATAACACTAACAGTTGACCATGGAATATTTAGTAGCAAAGAAATTTCATGGATGGACTTATTGTACAGGTGGCAACCTATCATGGTACCACGCTTGAATTCACTGAGCTCTTGAGAGCGACCCATTCTTTCACTAATGTTTGTAGAAGCAGTCTGCATGCCTAGGTGTTTGATTTTATACACCTGTGGTCATGGAGGCGATTGGAACACCTGAATCCAATGATTTGGAGGGGTATCCCAATACTTTAGGCAATATAGTGCAGTCAGGATCAGCCATGAAGGGAGAGTTCGGTAAATTTGGTCTGTGATTTACTATTAAATAACAATGAAAGCTCTGTGCCACAGGCAAAACCAAAATAAACCAAAAATAAGTAAACACAAACGAATGTGATTATGGCTGCTGCAGTCTTCAAAATGTGTCTAACTTCCACATTAGCGAGTCCTATAAAAGTGTATATAGACCACTCTGTCAAAAAAATGTGAATCAAAACACTAAACAATTTGCCACATGTGAAAATGCAACAAAATAAAATAAATGAACACCATAAAATAAAAATAATATCCAATGTATTAGTGAGCCTGGGTTCACCTATGTGAGGTGCGGTATATTGCATGTGATTCGCACAGGAACCGCACCGCATTCCTGTGCAAATTACATGCGATTTGTGTGCGGTGCCGATTGGAGCAATACATTTTGTATGGCTCTATTCACACCGCACGCAAAACAAAACCGCACAGGACCCTTTTTTGGGCCCGCACTAGAATCGGATCGCATAGGTATATACACCTATTTGATCCGATTCTGCACATCGCACCATGTTTTGCGGACCGCTTTCAGGGTGTTGTGAACTTAACATACACACCCGCCGTGGTTCACATGAACGGGGTGCAATTCTGATGCAGTGCAGAATTTGCACTGAGAACGCTGCAAATTCCGCACCGCATCAGTGTGAACCAGGGCTAAGTCCCATTCAAATGCTAATTGCTTGAAAACCAAAAGATAGGTGAACAGATGCTGGTGCCATTAATAACAGAAAAAACAGGTGAGCAGTTCCAGATGCTCCAGGTGAGACAAATTTTTTTTTTTTTTTTAGGTAAAAATAAGTGATAAATAATAACTTGTCCAGGGCATCCAGTATACTGCAAAACAAGTGGATGCCCTCGACAGATTATTGCTAATCACTCAAAAAAAAAAAAATATATATATTTTCTACATACTTACCTGTAAAATGCATTTCTTGGAGTACATCACGGGACACAGAACAGGCCATAATAATGACTATGGGGGTTATATGCCACCTATAGGTGAATGGACACTGGCCAACCAATAAAAAAAAGTCCCCCCCATATAACCCCTCCTACACAGGAAGTACTCAGTTTTTGTAGCAAGCAATGAAAATCCAGAAAGAGGGGAGAGACCTCAGTGTCCCGTGATGTACTCCAAGAAATAGATTTTACAGGTAAGTATGTAGAAAAAAATCCAATTTTCTTTATAGTACATCACAGGACACAGAGCAGGCCATAATAATGACTATGTGGGATGTCTCACAGCGATAACCTTGAGGGTGGGTGACATCACAATAACCACCGCCAACATCCCAAAAAAGGAGCTATTCAGCTGTACGTAAAACACTGCAGCCAAAAGGCAGAATCCTCCGTGGCTCTGACATCCACCTGGTAAAACCTTGTGAATGTATGAACCGAAGACCATGTAGCAGCCTTGCAAACCTGAGCAACTGACGCCTGGTGGTGGATAGCCCAAGATGCCCCCACACTCCTGGTAGAATGTGCTTTCACTGAAAGGGTGGAACCTTGCTCTTCAAACCATAGGCTTGAATGATTGATGAATCGACTTAGAAATAGTTGATTCGGATGCCGCCTGTCCTCTCTTGGGACCTTCCGGCAAAATAAACAAGGAATCAGTATTTCTAATCTGCGCCTTCATTCTCAAAAAGACCCTTATTGTCCAAACTACATCCAGGACATGCAAAGATCTTTCTTTTGCCAACTGAGGCCTAGGAAAGAATGAGGGCAGAACAATGTCCTGACTGAGATGAAAACTAGAAACCACTTTTGGCAATAAGGACGGATGAGACCGTAACAACACCTTATCCTGATGTAAAGCCAACAATGGTTCCCTACAAGAAAGAGCTGCCAACTTCAAATGCCCTTCATAGAGAGGTGATTGCCACCAAAAACAGAACCTTTCGAGTTTGCAGAACTAACAGATCTCCCTGATAGGTTCAAATGGTGGTTTCTGTAAAACTGCCAAGACCAAGTTCAAGTCCCAAGGACACAGGGGCTGTCTGACAGGAGGAACAGTACGTATCATCACTCCCTGTCTTTGGAAAAACACAGTCAAGGCTGAAACCTGACCCTTAATAGTACCAACAGCCAATTTCTTTTCTAATCTTGATTTGAGTTCTCCCAAATACTTCAGGTGGTGCCAACTTTGACCCTCACACCACGAAATGTATGCCTACCAAGGGGAGTACTAACGTGCCCTTTAGAAAAACCTGCTGTGTCCTGGCCATCCCTCCAGGGTCTAGCAGAGGTAGCGGTGGTTGCAGCAGCTCACATGTAACAGGCAGCATGATAGGTAAACAATATGGCCCACTTCCTCTTCCTGCTGCTATTGCATATGCGTCCCCATGGTAACAGACTCCCTCAAGTGGCCACAAATAGGAATTACAGGCAGTTTACAAGCAAAAAAAAAAAGTACTCCCCCTGGAGCTCTTCCCAGTCTTCCATAGTGGACTCCTCCGCATATACAGATATAGAGAGGAACACTTACCCATCCCGCCGCAGGCCCCTGAACCTTTATCAGGGACCAACCTTCACCCATTATGGTGGGGATTGTCCTGAAGACCTTCAAGGACTCGGTCCCCCTTTTTTAAATGAGGGCCACTGCCTTGGACCCGTATAGCACCCTGCTGGAAGTGCCTTGGTCAGATCAAACTACACAGGGTTCCAGTGCCAGCTTTTCAAATGGATCCGATTGAGGCCCTTGACTCTCAGTAGAATCATTCCAAACCTCCCAGTATGCTTCACAGAGAATATTCAGCACATGTTCAGTGAACATCCACCTTACAGACACTGGAGAAAAAACTTCCTGTGTAGGAGGGGTTATATGGGGGAGGACTTCCTGTTTCATTGGTTGGCCAGTGTCCATTCACCTATAGGTGGCATATAACCTGCATAGCCATTATTATGGCCTGCTTCGTGTGCGATAAAGAAAATGTGTATTATTTTATTGTAACAGACTGTACCTGTGAATGTGTATCCATATTAACCACTTCAAGTCCGGACACTTTTACCCCTTCCTGTCCAGGCCAATTTTCAGCTTTCAGCGCTATCACACTTTGAATGACAATTGCGCGGTCATGCAACACTGTACCCATATGAACTTTTTAGCATTTTTTTGAGACAGATAAATCTTTATTTTGGTGGTATTTATTCACCACTGGGATTTTTATTTTTTTTGCAATGCAAATGAAAATGTCCAAAAATTTTGAAAAAAAGTGTTTTTCTTATAAAATTTTGCAAATAAATATTTCATCATAAAATCTTGGCCAAAATGTATTCCATTATATTTTTAGTAAAAAAAAAAAACCATAATAACCCAAATTAGTTTATAACCAAATATTATAATTTTTAAACATTTTTTGTTATTTTAATATTTATATATATATTTTTTTTTTACATACTGTCACCCTAGTAGTACAGTGTCACTGTACTACTTGTGGGGGGTGAAGATTTTTTTTTTTTACACCGATTGCTTTTACACCCATAAAGGCTGTAAAAGCAATCATTTCTCCTTCTATCTGGCTGCATTCTTGCAGCAATTGAGAACTACTGTTTGAGCTGTGATTGGTCACAGCTTGTCACATGGTACAAGGCTGTTGTGAATAGCCTTGTACCATGTGACCTCTGTGATCATTCACAGATTTCACACGTAGTAAGCAATGATGTCAGAAGTGACATCTTGCTTACTACTCTGCATGTGATCACTGATTGGCCAATTAGTTATCACATGATCGGGACCTTGCACAGAGGTCCTGTACGACGTCCGGAGGTCACAGCAGGCACCGGATCGTGGTGCTGCGCGCTCCCAGGGAGCGCGCACAAGCAGGGGCGGGGAGGCCGTTTATAAATGGCCACCCGACCCTGCACTGCCACCGTCCAGCCGTTTTATATACAACGGCCGGACGGAGGTGGTTAAGTCATTATATGGTAGCAATAAGGGCACATCCAGTGATGCTTACTAGGTTGTTCACATCTGGTCCCCAAAGAGTCAATTTGGCAGGGCATAAATCCAGCTTCCAAAATGGTGAACACTAGCTTCCTGAAGACGTTCAATTGCAGATGAAACTAGTTAAAGGAGTGTTCCCCAACCGATACATCACATCCCATCCCTGGAGCACAAGCCAGCCCTGGACTCAGCTCAGCCATCTTAAACACAAACGCTGTATGTACCTGGTGCTGGGCCTTAGGCACACATACATGTGAGTCTGTTTTTTTTGTTAGGTTTTATATGATTGCATAAAGTCAGCTGCTTTTTGCAATGAACCTTTTCCCTGATACTGTTATTGAGTGGCGGTGTATTGCATGGGAAGGAATCGCATTTCTGGTACATATGAATGGTCAAATTGGTGACAAGACACACAGTGGGTCCAACCAAAAAAAGCGCTGTAAGACCCATCTAGTAATAGAAGGTCCATCCATTGTGATGAGTGCAAATCCATGTGGGGGTCACCTGGAAGTAGTCACCTGTTTTTTCTGTTACGAATGGCACCAGCACCTGTTCACCTATCTTTTGGTTTTCAAGCAATTATCCTTTGAATGGGACTTACTGATACATCAGACATTATTTTTATTTTCTGGTGGTGTTCATTTATTTTTTGCATTTTCACATATGGCAAATTGTTTAGTAATTTTGATTCACATTTTTTGGCAGCGAGGTCTATATACACTTTTAGGTGACTTGCCATTGCCAATGGCTGAGGTCTTGTTGGCCCCACTGGGAAAAACCTGAGCAACACTGCATTGGAAAACCCATCTGTCACTTTTCTGGGGAATATATGTTCATATTATGGAAAATACATAAGCAAAGATCATCTTTGGTCTAATTCAATCAGTTGATTCAGGAATATAGTATAAATCAGGCATCATTAAATGGCAGACCGTGGTTTGGATCCGAACCAAGGTGTTTGCCACTTAGGAGCCGATTCTTTCCACAACCCTCTAGCGCTGTCATTTTCACAGTAGAGTGCAGGACGAGAGGTACAGCAACACTGGATGGAGGACAGAATTGGTGGCTGCCCAAGATAACTTTGCAAGTTAACTGGCAGGTTAATGGTTGATAGGACACAGGGCAGTCCTAGCAACCAACCACCAGCTTGTTCATATAAAAAGTTAGCTCCAGCAGCTCCCGCCCTCAATCCAGTGCTGTTGTGACTCCGACCCTCCATTCTGCTGTGTGCACTGTGAAGTAGGAGAATAAAGGGGTTAGGACATGTCTGTAAAGGATGGGAGGTTGATGTGAAGGGGGACACTGCTGTGGGGGATGAAGAGGGGGCAGAGAAGGACAATGTGCTAGGGGGAGGAGGGGAGAAGAGGGGTGCAGGAGGACACTGCTGTGTTTTGTGGGGGGGGGGGGGGGGGGGGTGATGTGAATGGGAGTAAAGGGGGACACTGCTGGGAGGGGGGTGAAGAGTGGCAGAGAAGGATATTGCTGTGGGGGGGGTGATGTGAAAGGCAGCAAAGCAGGACAATACTGTTGAGGGGAGAGTTTATGTGAATGTAGAGGGGTGTAGTGTGAAGGTGGTTCAAAAGGGTTTAGAAAGCTACTGTGAAGGAGATGGGGGGGAGTGATGTGAAGGGGGAGGGGTCAGTGGTGTGAAGGGATGGGAACTGTGATGTAAATGGGGGAATTTGTGATATGCAAGGGGTACTGAGAACACTGATGTAAGAACAGATTGTGATAAAGGAGTAGAGTGCTGTCATGTAAAGGATCTGAGTAATCATACAAAAATGTGATTTGGACCTCTGCTGGAAGAAAATTGTAGGCACCTTTGTGAATTTTAATTCAATAACGCTGCTCTCATTTTATGCCAGTCTTGACAATCTGAGTGCTGCCCTTCCTCCTCCCATCTACCAGGTCTTCCTGCTGGTCAGCAGAACATACATAACCCATTCTATCCTGTGCTGTTCAGTACATGCTCCATGTAGTACACTGTGCTGTAATGTACAGGGATTAGTCAAAAATACGGAAACACTACATGATTTGCAGGTGTGAAAGTGACAACATGTTTTGCGTTGAAAGCAAAAGCGATGTAACATTCTCTTGCTTCTGCTTTGTGATGAGACACCTAGCTAACAGGTGGGAAGCCTCACTTTCGTCATTCACTGCATACGTTGCTGGTAATACGGAGTCATCTCAGAGCTTACTGAGCTTCAAAGAGGGCAAATTATTGCTGCCTGCTTAGCGGGTGCCTCTGTGACTGAAGTTGACAATTTATCTGTCACAAGCTACAGTATCAAAGGTTATGATGGCATATACAGTTTCCGGGAAATCACCTGATAAGTGACTGCAGAGCTCAATCTCAGTCCCGTGGAGACTGAGCTCTGCAGTCACTTTTGTAGTTGTTTTCTTATTCCAGGGCCCAATCTTGCCTCTGCCGTGTGTCGTGAGGTGCAGTATCAAAGGTTATGATGGCATATACAGTTTCCAGGAAAACCGTCGTCTCATAGGGGCTAAATGGTTAGCACTTCCACCTGGCAGTACTAGGGTTGTTGGTTTGAATCCCAACCATGGCACCACCTGCCTGGAGTTTGCATGTTCTCCCTGTGCGGGTTTCCTCTGGATATTCCGGTTTCCTCCCACACTCCAAAGACATGCTGGTAGGCTAATTGGCTCCTGTCTAAATTGTCCCTAGTATGTGTATGTATGAATGTAAGTTAGGGACCTTAGATTGTACACCCCTTGAGGGTTAGGGACTGATGTGAATGTACAATATATGTATGTAAAGCGCTGTGTAAACTGATGACACTATAAGTACCTGCAATAAATAAGTGCGGTCGGCATGGTGAACTGAGTGACAGAGACAGGAGAACATTGCGCAGCATTGTGACCCGGAATACGAGGACAGACTGACGTTCGGTATATATTCACTGGCAGTACTGTAAACATACAGCCCTCTGTCTCCGGTCCCCCCCCATGACCCAGCATTACCCGGAGCACAGCCCTCCATACCTGTCTCCTCACACATGGACACCACTAGACCCCGCTGTCCTCTGACACTCCATTACCCGGCATGCTGCTCTCCGCCGTGTAGCCAGCACTTCCTTCTTCCCAGCGTGCCTTGCGGCCTCAGGCTCAGCCTCCTTCCGGGAGAGGCTCTGATGGTCGGATTGTGTGTGTGGATGGTGCGGCTCTCCGGGGAAGATGCAGGAACTCATCGCCTGTGTGGATCATATCCGCTTCGACCTGGAGCTGGCTGTGGAGCAACAACTGGGGGCCCAGCCGCTCCCCTTCCCCGGCATGGACAGTGAGTGCCTGTAGTGTGTGTGCTAAGACTGTCCTTGTCCTGTCACCGGAGGGGCTCTCCTGTACCTTAGAGGGGCCCTTCCTCCATCATACTGCCTAGCTGTGCCCCCACTATTAGATCTGCGTGTTGTCTGTATGGAAATCTGTCCCAACTTTGTAATAAAGGAAGAAGCACTGGCCTTGTCTTTGGTTTAATGTGTTCTCCTGTGGTCTATATTGAATCATTCTAAAGCCTATGTTTTCATTTTGAATAATGAGAAAGGTGTACACCTTTGTTCTGTTTATGCCCCATTGGGGAGATTTCCCTTCACTTCCTGTCCTGGTGATACAACAGGAAGTGAAGGGGAATGCCCCTCCCCAGGCCACATTCACACCAACTCTTAATTGGTGGCAGATGTTCAGGAGGTGATGCTGATCTTTGTTTTTTGATCAAATGAGGATTCTACATTGTATTCCCATGCCACAAACCCATGCCTAGTGGTTGTCATTCAGCTATGTCCATGAATACAAGGAGTCCAGCATACTCCATGCAGCTGAGAGCCTTGATCATAGGAGGGTGCTGTGGTGAAATGGCAGATGGCGCAGCTAAAGCAGAACTCCAGTCTGAGATATCAGCAAGAAGAGGGGCTTCTTAACATCCCTGCTTTCTGCTGGTGACATTAAACTGCCCATCCTTTTCTTTTCAATAGGTTTTTATTAAAGCAGTATTAAACTCCAAAGCAAACATTTTATTGCAGCTTACTAATTCATTTAAGTGATTGGTGGCTGCATCATTTTCTTTCTTTTTTTAGGCTTTCTTTCTTTTATTTTCACCTGGGGATCCATCAAGTAAGTCTGGTTTTTCAAAAGAACAAGTTTTCTTCCAATGTATCAGATTACAGAGATGAGATAAACCATTTACCACTGACTGGATGCTTACAATGATCAGCTTTTATTTTTTCATGTAAAAACTTTATCTCAAAAGAAGAAAAACTGTTGCTGTAACTGCAGTGTGAGCTGGGGTTTGGCTTCAGTTTATTAGTGTATCTAAATCTGCTAGTATATCTAACACTAACCTCCCCCCAGATTGACAATGTGGCTAGCCAAAGCTTTCGCTGTGCTCATTCATCCAAAGTTGCATCTGGCTAATACAGGAGGCGTGTTATTGGCCAGATCACCAGGTGGAAACAGAGGGAATAAAACTAAAAACTAATCTAATTAAGCCACCACATCTAATCCTTGGTAAGCTGCAATATATTCCATTTTTGGGTTTAATACCACTTTAAGGATAGGCAGTATGCATGCCTGTTTTCAACATCCAGTATCATGTATCAGTAACATTACAAAGATGCAGTTGTCCATCTTTTACAGGGATATAAGTAAACCCCCCATATAGGGGTTATGATTGTAATGTAACCCAAGAGAAGTACATTATTCCAGAATGACCGCCTCTTTCACTTTTCCTATTCACCATCATAGAAAGTTTCTACAATCAAAATATGTAAGTTCCTAGTGTTCCCCACTTGCCATGTTAACAGGTTTCCGCTGGGTTATACCCATCCCCAATGTGGTAGTTGTCAGCAGTACGGAGCCTCATCTTCACATGCAAACCATGTCTGCTGACAACCAAAGTGAAGCAAATGGTGTATAGACTTTAACCTGGCTATAGATGGATCAAATCTCAGCTGGTTCAGCAGGAACTGGCAGAGATTCGATTCACGCATGGGCAGGCTGATTGTACTGAAGCTGATCCATCAATAGACTTCAGTACAACCAGCCTGTCAGATTTTTTCATGCAATTACAGCTGGCTGTATTCATTGTGTTCTAGCAGTGATCATTGTGTTCTACCAGCAAGGAAGGTTCCCCACTGACAGAACATGATAGCGCTGCGGGAAGGATTCCCCCATCAACACTGATTGTGTGGATGGGGAAGCAAGCCATTTCCTTTCTTTCTACCTGTAGTGGAATGAAGGAAAAATGTGTAATATGCCTGCTTTAGAGAGAGACAAATAAATAAAGTAAGAAGAGGAAAGAAAAGATGCTAGGGGACGGGTTCCCCGGGGTGTCATAAGTGGCGAGGCGAGCCTCATCAATGAACTCTGTCACAAGAACAACAAGGATCTATCAAAATCTCTTGGAAGGTAATATTCCATTCATGGGGACCAAAGCTGCTCAAATGTACAATATTGCTGTGTCATATTGCTGCCATGTTTTCATAAATCAGATACCACGTCATCTTTTATTTCTCTTGAGCAGTCGTTGGAGTGGAGGACCCCCATACACTTGCCAGGAATGTCAAGAAATTGAATTATTTATTGGTACATTTAGGTGTCTTCAGATTAAGCAGTGCTTCCTTTGGCAGTTTCTTGTCCTGTTTTCATCTGAATGTGGCATGCTGGTAATATCTTGGATTGAGAACCCGTTATTGCGTGATTGTACTGATTTAATGGGCACATTGGATAAGCAGCACCACCTGCCAGACATGACATACTAAATTTAATTTGCTGCTGCACAAAACCCCACAGCAGTATGAATAGACCTGAGTGGCTGCCATGGTATTTTGTAGGGGGCAGTAAAGACAGATTAACTGCCTGGTTTTACCACCCTTTTGCCCCCTGCTTGAAATAAGCTTTACAGCTCATTTAAAATTGTGGTCAGGAAGGGAAGGGTGGTAAAAACGTCCCTCCTTAACCTCTTGCTTACCAGGCACTTGTACCCCCTTCATGCCCAGGCCAATTTTCAGCTTTCAGCGCTGTTGCACTTTGAGTGACAATTGCACGGTCATGCAACACTACCCATATGAAATTTTAATCATTTTTTCACACAAATAGAGCTTTCTTTTGGTGGTATGTACTTGCCACTGGGTGTCCTATTTTTTGCACTATAAAAAAAAAAACAAAAATTTTGAAAAAAAAAAAAGTTTTTTTATAAAATTTTGCAAACAGGTAATTTTTCTCCACTGATGTGCGTTGATGAGGGTGCACTGATATGCAACAATTATGGGCACTGCTGGGCACAGGTGGGTGGCACTGATGGGTACCGATCATCAATGCCCTGATGATCGGTGCTGATCCCTCCTCTGACAATTGCTGGTTATCTGCAGTACTTTCCTCACGCTGTAAAAGCATGAGGAAAGTGCAGCTGATAACCAACAACTGTATTTACCGGTGATCTGCTGTGTCATTGGACACGGGTGATAACGTAAAAGGCCGCTGTGATTGGCCTTTTACCACATCACGTGATCAGCTGTGTCCGTAGGACACAGCGATCACGGAGATCACAGGGTGCGCACGGGAGGGCGCGTTCTGGGAGGATGTCATATGACGCCATCCCAGAACTGGCCGGCCGCAGTGAAGCCGTCATTTGGCTATCTGCAGTCAGCAAGTGGTTAAACTGCAAACAGGGTTTCACACATGCTGCAGCTGTGATGCTTTTCTTTGTGGGAGAAATTATACTGCCTGCCAAATGCAATTAATATTATACAGGATTTATATAGCGCCAACAGTTTTGCGCAGCGCTTTACAAAATGAATGCAATCCACTTAAATGAATGGGGGTGCTCCACAACCACATGCAATGCAACTGGTTGTGGTGCAGCATTTACACACATAAAAAGGGGTAACATATCACCTCAGCACCTATCCAATGCTTCTGAAATGGGATGCACTGCAGATAGCTTTTCAGAGGGGTGGCAAGGTCTGCCTCATGTCTAAATATGGCCTTAGAACTCTGTTGGTACATGTAACTTTACTGCAGCCACTCTGAAAAGCCATCCACTTGGATGGCTTTTCAGAGGGTATTTTGACAGGCAGAGGGGAGGTGATATGTCACCTCACTGCAGGCTTTAATCCTCAAAATACCAACCCACTGCACTGCAACCTTGGTTTAATTTTTGTTGCAAAGCATTGTTGTTGCTACAGCACTGAGCAACTGCATTCACTGTGTATAGAAGGCAATTGGGGGTGGGGCTGTAAAACCAGTTAACCATATGGTTTTATATCTTCACATCCAGCTGTGTGAATGAGCCTTTTGCAAGTTGTCAGCTGGACAAGTGTCCTCTTTGGATGACTTCCCGTCTATTCTTTTGGTGTTCAGTCACAGTATTGGATTTCCTTTTGGCTTTCTGTTTTGGTCATCAAGAGAAAGCAAGATTATGAATCTCCCTTACCAGGATAAAAACGGCAATAAAAATCTGACTGGGTTCTAAACCTTCCATTCCTTTTCATAGCAAGTAAAAAAATGTTTGGCTTTATATAGACTTTAGGGGCTTGATCACACCATTGCGTTGCATTGACTGGCACCCCAACATAGCGGTGTGGTAGTGCACCTCGACACACACACACATACATATAATTTTATTTATTTTTGTTACTTGTGGTGGGTTGGACAGCCTATTCAAATGAATGGGCTGCCTAAACACGACACATGTCAATGCGCAAGATTGATTTGTGTTAAATACATCGCAGTTGATCAGGTTGTTGTGATTGGCCATTCTAGGAGACAAGTGAACTGCAAATATGGTAAATCAAGAAGTTTACCTTGTATATAGAAACTTTATAACATTCCACTATAAATAGCAAACTGTTATTGCACGCCCGCTCTGCTATAGCACATCGCTTGACCCTGGAAATGTAGGGCCATCTATATAATGTACCTGGAAGTACTGCTTCTTTAGAATTTCTTTCCTGCGCATCGTTCCGCTTTAATTTTCTGTTGCCAGTTTAAAAGTGAAGTAATAGAAAATTTGCTATGTGAATGTCTCAAGCATGCACTCAGCTGTCACGAATAATCACGTTTTGCATAATACTTTTTCCTATGAAAATTCACCCCCTCCATCTAATGGCAATAATTCTGGTATTGTCTTGATTAAGGAATTTCAGGAAAGAATCACATTATGGCCTCTAGATAGAGCCTGTGATCATAGGAAACAAATTTGATAGGCAAAATACGGGATTATTTGTGACAGCTGAGCAAATGCTTGAGACCTTTTACAGCAAATTTGTTTTATAAATGGACCCCTAGAAGATTACTGCGTGCAAGTGTATAGGTTGACTTGTATTAGAATGCCAAACCTAGAGACAAACAGTAGTCTGTCAACACAGAACCTTAGGAGACTTGCATACAGGCAGGCTGGCCAGCCATTGATATAATTAGACCACTAAGAATATCTATTGAAGTGATTTACCAGTAGGAAGGTGTGGAAGGTCCAGCCTTCAGTACAATTGAAAAATTCTGGAGGTACCACAGTGTTCTTACACACTTGTTCCTGTTGCCAGCATTTTATGGTTGTACTCATGTTAGCAAGGTTTCTGTTGACATGTATACTTTAATGTGAGTCCAGAGAGCACTACAGTGTTACTGGAGGTGTACTTCCTGAAGCCTGCACTGTATTGCCAATCGCATTCATACTGCCAAAGTGTCAGTTTGAATGTGATCAGTGGCAGTGAGAATTCTGACACTTTTTTTTTTTAATATCAGGATCGTTTTATATCATAGACCAAAGGGATTGTTGAACTGATGAACTACAGTTATGCATGGACAAAAAAAAAGTGTTTACCAGATGGTGCATTTCAAAGGTTAATTTTCAGTATTGACTGTAGTACAGTACTTGAGGCATTTACGTGTAATTTTTTTTTTCTTCTCTGTAGAATCCGGGGCTGCTGTTTTGTGAATTCTTCTTAAAATCAGCATGTGGCAAAGGTAAGTATGTGTAGAAACCTTTAAACTGTGTGCAATATGGTGTACTGTATAAATTGGGCTGTACTATATGTTATATCATGAAGTTCAGCGTTGCACTATAAAATTTCAGATTCTTGTCCACATGAGCGAGCCCAGCAGAAAGCTGTCACATTTATTGGCCCAATCATCTTCGGCTGGGGCATTCCCCCACCTGCAGCTACATTTATACAATGCATATGTATACTTGCAGCTTCAGTGCTGCATATAGCCCTGTGGCCAACTTTGCATCCAGAACTCCTCACTAAGGGCTCATTCAGACAGCAGATTAGCGCTGTCCTCCGTGCAGAGCCGCTGGCAGATATGTGCATTCATCTCAGTTGCATACAGGCAGCCAATAGAAGTGCAGCACTAGTACACACATCTGCAAGTTTGAAATGTGAGTAGGAACGGAGCATAGATCCGAAAGCAGACAGCTGGGCTAATGCTTGTCACTTTTGTCCAACAATTTTTTTTTTATAAATTGACCCTTATAGTCCAAGGCTGTAAAGCAATTTTTCTACCGTGTACAACTGCTTACAATGGTTGTAAAGGCTCAATATTTTTCACCTTCATGTATTCTATGCATATAAGTAAAAAACCTTCTCTGTGCATCATACCAGCCCCCCCCTAATATTCACCTAAGCCCCCTCTCGATCCAGCAATGTGCACTGGAGACTTGGTTATCCCGGGGCTCCCTCTCCTCATTGGCTGAGGCAGCAGCAGGAGCCATTGGCTCCCGCTGCTGTCAATCACAGCTAGTAAGTTAATAAGAAGAGGGGGGGGTGGAGCCCAGCCGCTGCTCCATGTGTGGATGGACACACAGAGCAGTGGCTGGGGAATGTGCATGCTCAGGTGCCCCCATAGCAAGCTGTTTGCTGTGGGGGCACCCGACAGCAGGAGGAACCAAGAGCTCCGGCGGAGGATCTGGGCTGTTTTGCTTACCTACTCTGTGCAGCAGGTAAGTACAGACATTTATTTAAAAAAAAAAAATGTAAGCCTGTAGAATCACTTTTAAGGCTTTGATATACAGTGCATTTAGAATGTATTCAGACCCCCTTCACTTTTTATAATTTTGTTATGTTGCAGCCTGATACAAGTGTTTTAAATGAATTTTTTTCTCATTAATCTACTCTCAGTATGCCATAATGACAAAGTGAAAACAGAATTTTAGGAATATCTATGAATTTATTAAGAAGAAAAAACTGAAATATCACATTGGTATAAGTATTCAGACACTTTGCAGTAACACTTGAAATTTAGCTCAGGTGCTTTTGTCTTGACAGTAGCTAAGATGTTTCTACAACTTGCTTGGAGTCCACCTGTGGTAAATTAAATTGACTGGACATGATTTGGAAAGGCACACACCTCTGTATAAAAGCCCTCACAGCTGACAATGCATACTGTATCAGAACAAAAGCCATGAGGTCAAAGGAACTGCCTGCAGAGCTCAGAGACAGGATTATTGCAAGGCACAGATCTGGGGAAGGTTACAAAATATTATTCTGCACCAAATGCTCTCGATAGCACAGTGGCCCCCAGAATTCTCAAATGGAAGAAGTTTGGCACAACCAAGACTCTTCCAAGAGCTGGTCATCTGGCCAAACTGAGCAATCGGGGAAGAATGGCCTTAGTAAGAGATGTGACCATTAACCCGATGGTGTGACTGAACTCCACAGATCCTGTGTAGATGGGACAAAGTTCTAGAAGGACAACCATGACAGCAGCCCTCCACTGATCTGGGCTTTATTGCAGAGTGGCTAAACGGAAGCCTTTCCGTTTGGCGTTTGCAAAAGCTTTATTGCAAACTTCAGGTGGGCTTTCACTGTTTCCGAATTTAAAACTTTTTTGGCCTAACCCTTAACATGAGCATTACAAAAAAAGAATGAACTGCAGTCATATTGGTCCACTAACCCAATTCATCATATATCCATGTTCTCTGCTACATTGGCCAGGAAATGATGAGGCGATCATGCGATCATTTCATGCATTTTAGTGATAGCACACTCTGTCATCCTTGGTGTGACCCTGAATATGATGAGCTCTACAAAATTCTGCCCCTCATAAACTACTTCACTGAGAAATTTGTAGAGGCTTTAGACACAATTCACACACAAGGTTCTCAAAAGATGCAGGATAGTCAGGAAACCGTCTAACACATTTTGAGAGACCCTAAAATCAAAGGCTAGAAAGTTTACAATTACGGTTCTGATAAGTTAAAAAAAGGTATAAAAATTTTTCAAAAAGTAAATGCAGAAATGCCAATCAGCTGCAGAGTTGATCTGTTTATTCTGACAGCAACAGGGTGTTGCTCACAGAATATATACGTCCGTGCATGCAGCGTTGGAAATTTCTCATTCGCAGTTTAAAAAAAAAAAAAAGGAACGTATATGGCCACGCATGAGTGACCTGGGGTGGTCAGTGGGTGGATTGCTCATATGCTTCGGCATATTTTATCACTTTTTGTGGCAGAGAGTTCTTCATTCACATCAATTGATGTGACTGAAGGAATCTGTTAGGTTCTTTTTTTCATTCAGCCCACAGGCTGAACAAAAAAAAGAACTTTTCATATATGCCCAACATTAGAAGTTGGTGGATGCAGGGTGGTCGATTCTAATAGAAAAAATGCCACACACTTTGTAGCAGAGATTTCTTCATCCACATTGATCAATGTGAATGGAGGAATCTGTTTAGGTTTTTTTTTTTTTTTCGTTCTGACCACAAGCTGCATGAAAAAAAGAAAATTACATGTATGTCTAACAAAGACCAGCGACATACTGGTACATTGCTGGTATTTGAGTGGTTCTACTGAGGTGAAGCAGTCCTATTATACTGCTAGGTTGCTTTTGCAATCAGCGGAAGGGGACGTTCCTACCTCCCGCTACCTTCCATGGTTTTCTCGGGCTCTATAGATTGGAAAAGCATCTGATCTCTTGGACTGGTCAGATGCTGTTAAGGGTGGTAGAGGGCAGAGATGAGATCTGGCGTCTAATAGACCCCATATTTCTCAGTAAAGAGTACCTTTCACTGCCTATTGCTATCAGGAATACATTCCCTGTGACAACAGTAAAAGTGATTGATTACAAAAAAAAAAAATACAGTGTAAAATAAACAAAAAAGTAAAGTAACTCTTTGATGACCCATATTAACCCTTTGATCACCCCATCACCCAGCCAGTGCCATTTAGTACAGGGACAGTATATAGAATTTTTCACTGATCACTGTATTACTGCCACTAGCGACATCAGCATCAGGGTCAGTTAGCATCCCTCCCAGCCAGGGTCAGCTAGCATTAGATTGCCCGCACACTGTTGCACTCATGCTATAAGTTGTTGATCACCGACATTACTAGTATTGTACACATCAATATATCACGTACAGAACTATACAGTGTCCCCAGAAATGCAGTGTTAGCAGGATCAGCCCAGTTCACTGTCAGCACTAGCATTTAGCCCCTCCCCTGTTTTTCACAGAAAATTTGTATCAGTTGATTGCGGCCCAAAATATTTATGCACACAATACATTGCCGCTCACAAAAATTCAGCTCTTGCCAGACAATTCGCATGGAAACCTATCACGGTTTCTGAATTTAATCTTTTTTTGGGCCTAACCCTCAACATGGGCATTACAAAAAAAGAATGAATTGCGTTCATATTGGTCCACAGACCCAATTCATCGTATGCCCGTGTTCTCTGCTGTTACATATATGCCCAACATGGACCGGCAAAGTACTGATACATCGCTGGACTTTGTGTGGTTATACTGGTATGATGACCGCAGAGAAATACAAAGCAGCATGTCTACATTGTAAAACAGTATACTCACACATAATAAAACACAGTTAACCCCTTCCTGCCCAGTGTCAGTGCTTTTTATTAGCACTGATCACTGTATTAGTGTCACTGGGGATGTAAGTGGCAGTTAGTTCCCACCCAGTGTCAGAATGCCCACCGCAGTCCCGCAATAAGTAGCTGATTGCCACCATTGCTAGTGTAAAAAAAAAATAAATTTCAGTATATCCCGCCATTTGTAGACGCTATAACTTTCACGTAAACCAATTGATTTACACGTATTGGGATTTTTTTTTAGCAAAGATGTGTAGCAGAATACATTTTGGCCTAAATTTATAACGAAATTTGATTTTTTTTTTTTTTTAATTTTATTGGATATGATTTATAGCAAAAATTCAAAAATATTGTTTTTTTTTTTTTTTTCAAAATTGTCGGTCTTAATTTGTTTATAGTGCCAAAAAAAAACAGAGGTGATCAAATACCCCTGAAAGAAAGCTCTATTTATGGGGGAAAAAGAACATAAATTTAATTTGGGTGCAACGTTGCATGACCGTGCAATTGTCAGTTGAAGTAACGCAGCGCCATATCGCAAAAAATGGCCTGGTCAGGAGGGGAGTGTGGTTAAGGGGGGTAAATTTTCCAGATGGCAAGTGGTTAAGTAAGGTGCTGACTTCCTAAAACTGGAGGCATTTTTGTGCCATTACCTTCATCATTAACCACTTTGCGCCGATGTTACACAAATACGTGGCCTCAAAGAACTGGGCCATTTTCCATGGGGCCGCATATTTGCGTACCTGTCTTTGTGCTGGGCGCGCACCACACAGCACGCTCCCAGCACAAAGACTGCTCCCCCTTGTTTTTTTTTTTTTGTTTTTTTTTCTCTATATGAATGGAGGAGAGAGATGCACTGTATGTCTCTAACTCCTGGCATAGAGGGGGAATAAATGTTTGTTTAAAAAAAATAAAGAAAATAAAGAAAAAATCCCTAGATCAAGGTTTGATCTAGTTCAGTGCCAGTGTTTGAGTCAAAGAACAAGGTCAGGTTTTTTGTTTTTTTTTGTTTTTTTACATTGGTGTCAGTGTGTTTTAACTAATTCAATACCGGCAATTTTATACCTTCCTGCCCAGGCCAGTTTTAAATTTTCAGCGCTCTCACTCACGCTTT